GTCTCCTATCTTTAAATTCGCACTTTTTCTTTTTCTTCCCTTGCATACTAGTATTTGTGTTTGACTTGCATTTATTTTCATACAAGACTGTTTTATCAATACCACTTCCATTTTATTTAAAGCTATCTCTAACTCCTTGCTGGTTGCTAATACTCTTATATCATCTGCAAATTTAAGCATATTAATCTGTATATCTATCTCTACAGTTGTACTGTCTTTAATGATATTGATCGCGACTTCGATATATAAATTAAAAAGTAACGGTGACAGTGTGCATCCCTGTCTAATATCTACTTGTCCTTTAAAATAAAATAATTTTAGTAAATTGTGTTTTAAAGAGTTTTCTGTATTTTGATATAAATTGTCAATTTATGTAGCAGAGACAGAGACTGAGCTCGTAAATAATTTTAAGACTTCGTACCCCATCATCTTTTGCCCCCTTATGTCTATCCTTTCGCTATAATCTTTACAGATGTTACAGTTCGATAATCATTTTACTTATTATTGTTTATTACGGACATTGTCAATATCGCCGTTCCTAAATTCCTTATCTATCATTTTATAGAAATTGTGGTAATTGCGCTAATAGAATGAGTGACTAGAGGTCCCAATTTAAGAAGTCTACTTGCTCCGTTTTCAATTGCCAATTTGAAAATAGACGGGACATTCGAGTCTACGACTCCACGAGATTCTTAGAATAAATATGCTAATGATATTCACGAGAATGCACACAAACTGTCTGGTGTTGCGACGAAAGCAGCTGTTACCTGTCTGTTTTTTATAATTATTATTTCGCGTATTTGCGGCTGTTGTTATTATTAGATACTATTATTGTTGTCTTGTAAGGTAGTCTGCATTTTCGATACTTAAGTTCGTTTGATTTTATCGGATTGACTTGCCAAAATAATTACGTTGTCTACAGGGACACTTCGGTCAACGGTCATACGAATTTAAGTGCCCAGACAACAATTGACGGAAATTGGAAATATTTGGGGAATTTATGAACCGATGAAATACATAAATATTGTAGGAGACGCAACAAAACGTTACTGGAAACATTTTAGTGCTTTAGTGGCATAGCATATGATTTACCACGCTAATTTAATCACTATAATTTGTCACTAAATTCAAAAATTTGTCTCCCCAGCATGTTACTGGAAAATAGAAGAAATAGACTGATATCAGGTTGGCTCTACTTATAGCGTATCATGACATAGAGAAATACTGTAAGGGTTACAAATTTGTCTCCTATTTGTCTTTGCAAGATGGTATTTTTACCCATTTTGTCGCTAGTCTATCCTTTAGATGTCCATCGAAAAACAACTTTAAAGTCCCCTAGGTGGCATTAAACATACAATACTAGGCGTATTTTGAAATAGCATGCGCATAGAGAAGTACTGAAAGACTTGTAATTTGTAGTGTCCGACCGAAAGTTCTGTTTCGGTTTCGGTTTCGGTCGAGTTTCGGCAAAAAAACGAGTTTCGGTTTAGTTTCTGTTTCGGCGGCAAACCTGCCGAAACTACGACCGAAATCGAAACTGTGTTCGGGAGTTCTCGCGCTCTGCTCGGTCATGTTCGGCGCGTTCAACATGACGAATTAAGTTTATAAGAAGTTAATTTGTTCTTAATTAAGATAAAAGTGATTTATTTTGTTTTGTTTATTACTTAAATATTAAGTTCCTATACCTATTGTGATATTAGGTAACAATAACAAAAGTAATTTTATGTTTAATATTATATAGAAAAAAAGCATGAATAATCTTCAAAAGAAAAATGACTCTAGTCTATACTTACTCAAATAAACATCTCACCTATTTTAAGTATTTTTAAGGCGCAATTAAACTATTTCCTTAAATGAGGGGTTTTGTTATGTTGATTTTGATTTGATTATCAATAAGTGAAAATGTCAAAGACTGCAGAGCTGTGTGATTTAAAAATAAAAAAATAAAACTGACTGATTATAATAACGTTTTCTTTATTTTTCTCTCAAAACATGATCCTTATAAGGAAGTTTTGGTTTCGGTTTCGGCCGAAACTGAGACCGTTGTCGAAAAGGCTATAATTTGTCTCCTATTTATCGCTGAAAGATGGTGATTTTATCCATTTTATCGCTAGGCTATCCTCCAGTTGTCTAGCGAAAAAACAGCTGGAAAGCCTCCTGGGTGGTATTAGACATAACTACATAGCGTATTTCGAAATAGAATTAACGCAGAGAAATACTGCAATGATTATATTTGTCGCTCTTAACGCACCACCCCCATCTTCAGGACCTACTAAACAGAAAAAGACAGTTCTAAAAAATATTTGTATTACAATTGTTTTGACAGTTTTAATTGGAAGAAAATATGAGTAAAATTTGTACATAACATTGCCCAAATACTAAGCTGTGAAAATAATTAGACTTGAAATACAAAAAATTGAGCTATTTCTTCCTAATTATTATTTCTATATGTAGACAAACTATTGTAAAAAGAGTTGAAGATTGTGAATGGTTTATGACTTGTTTTTTTCTAGCTGTTACGTAACCCATGCGGTTTTCAGCCGTATGTATGATATGCATGCAAATATATATTTATTTGTGTCTTTATACACTTGTGGCATAAATCTAACGTGTAGGTATTACTGTACTATAGTTAGTTCACTTAGAGAAAGGTACAGCGTGTGCTATGCTCACAAACGGGATGGGTCACCGGAATATGGTCCATCATTTACCGTCAAATGTTTCTGATAAAAGCCTTCTAGTGCCGTAAATAATTTCTAACATTGACGCCCGTCGTCAATCAATCCACGCACATCGATCCGTCATAGTGTACCTTTCTATAAGTGAACGGACTGTATTGCATGTACGTATTGTATAATTCTATTTCTTGGTAATTCGACTCAAGGCTATTGAGAAATTAATATTTACATGGAAAACGTAGATCTTATACCTGTCGTTCCAGAAATGGTTTTGAATAAATCATAAATTGTTAATTATGTTCTTTTGTTAGTTGGGCCACTGACTGACTGACATATAAGGTTCACGTGTTAAGGTGCTTTTACAGTTGATGATAATTTGGAATAAATTTCAAATAAAAGTGAGCCATCCTTTTAAACTTATCATGTGACATAATGGATTATGGTTTGTTTAGGTTTGTACTCTTTAAAAGTAATCTTTTTTTTTTACATTTTATTTTCATTATATTGACATCTAGCCATCACTCGATGCATTGGCGGTAACTTATCTGGCTTAACTTAATACTTTTCACATCATTAACACGTTTTTGATACAAATAAATATAATCGGAGATAATATACACCAATTATACTGTTCAATGTATATATCATGTACCCTCTTGACCCCTTTCTTTATCTTCACGTCTTACTTAAAATAGGTATTACAAGTAGCACCAACAAAACTTTCCTACATAAACTTTGGTTTTGTTTATGTTTATGAAATACAAAGAAAAACGCATTTAATTACAAAATTAAGCATATATACCACTCTCGAAAACGTATAATTTCTTTAGTCCATTGTATTCAAAATAATTTTCTAGACTTAATTTTTAGAAAACGTACGATTTGTCTTGTAATAAAAGCACTGCAGATGGCAAGGGTACAAATTTATTTGAATATTGTATTCCGTCATTCACGTGTAGTCGATTTAAACGGTTTATAATGATCAGTAATAAATAATAAAATCACATTACATTGCGGAACTACGCTGCAAATTAAGGCGTTCCGCAAGTTTCAAACGTGGCCCATTGCTTTTTGCTATATTGATTGACGACGTACTAGGAATGCGAAAAACAGCTTCTCCCTTTTAATATAGGTACTTGCGTTATTACCATAAATTAAACGATTATGTCAATTGGTGGTAAATAATTACCGTATCATATTTTCCAAATAACATTAGTAAATAATTATTACATTCAAATTTGTTACTGATGGTTATTATTAATACATAAGATATTAAAGTTGCTTAACGATAGAAAACGTATTTACCATAAAAAAGTGCTACACCATAAAACCACATTATTGCATATGTATGTGATCGACTATAATAGTAATAGAAGTTTTTATTATTTTTGAAGTGAAACTTCTTTACACACGGCAGGGTAAGTTCGTTTCATGCGAGTTGCTGTGTAACGAAATCACGCAACGCATTTCCCTCGCTGTCTGTCCCCATGTATGCTTAGATCTTTAAAGCTACCCAACGGATTTTAATGCGTTTTTTTTAATAGGTAGAGTAATTCAAGAGGAAGGTTTATATGTAGAATACATGCATAATTTAGGGAAACACTGATAATTTTAGAGGTTTATAATGTGATGTCGTAAATAAACACATTTTTTGCGCTTACATTGCAAACGCTGGCTGAACCCTACGAGATAGATCAAAATAATATACTACAGTATTGTACATCTTAAAAAGGTCTACAAAAAAGTCCGCGATGGTACCTATATGTGTATCTCTTCGGGATAACCCACAATAACCATTTTTTATCCTTTACTTTTTACGAGAAATAATGGCTTATTTACGAAGTGATTTTAAGCAATACGGTATTAATCCTTATTCAATTAAGTACTTTTAAATACTTTGTGCATTTAATATAGATCAATATGGCCCTTTACAGCATGTAATTTAAATGAATATTTTCGAAGATATTACAGACTTAAAATGCAGGGACATAGCGGTTGCAGCGGTACCGGCCGATTTGTATTGTCTAATGACAAAAAAGCTCTGATTGTTGTTTATAAAGTCATTCTATAGTATATTTACTATCAGCATTGCACCCTTGCCAAGCATAGTGTACAAATAATACCATTAAACCATTTCCTTAACCCCTATCCCGGTATGTTTGTGTGTTTTGAAGAAGTTTCACTTCAGTAACGTGTTGTATAATTACACGTATTTTTTTAGTCTAATCGCTATAATCCTTTGGTCAATGTATCATAAATCATATAACATTTTGTCCGGGAAAACAATGCGATTTTTTCCTTATATTTTTATCTTTTTTCCAGTGCGAAGATGTTACTGTGAGGGCCATTGTCCAAACGAAGAGCCAACGGGTACGTGTGAAATAAAACAGGGTGGGCAATGTTTTGCTGCCACGGTCGAGGTCTGGGATCCGGATACAAACACATACGAACCGGAAGTGACGTACGGATGTTTTCCTGCAGACGAACGGGGCTTATTGCAAGTAAGTTTCGTCTTCTATTTCTTCAAAAAAAGAAATTAGGTAATTAATTTTTCCAACTAGTGCGTCGTTATTAATGAAATAAAAATAAATCGCTTTTGAGTTCGCAATTTAGAAATTAGGATTCGGAAAAGGAATGTTTGATGCGTGGTGTTATATGATAAAAAAATACCGTGCTTGGGAAAGGTCAGAGAGGGTAGGAGAACAGAGGGTGTTATAGCTGTCAGAAAGAAATTGGCAATAGATTAGCACTAGAAATGAGCTAGGTACCCGGTTTGGATACGGTACCCAGCCGGACTTGCCGGATAATGACGCCTAGTACCTGGCAGAGTGCCGGATAATTCCATAAGAGAATAGGGGATAGGTCTTTTATACTAATTTGTATTATTTATTAATTACTGTACTAAATTATTTGTTATTTTGATATAGTTCATGTAGTTTTATAAACATAATAGGCTCATTTCAACGATTTCAACTCAATCCTATCATTGAAAATCCGATAACCAAAAATTAAAGTTTCATTGATTTAGGATTTAATCGACTTTTTAAACGGGACTTATGGTTTGGGACTTTGGTGAGGGTGGTATGTAATGGATAGTCCCAGAACGAAGACATGAACCATTAACCGTAGTGATATTGCCGTGTATCTGTCACAGGTAGGGTTGCCATCTCTAAAATTTGGAAATCAGGAAAAGACGCGTGAAAACCTCGGATTTTAGAGTCCAGGACCCGGACATGTCAATAGGTTTCTTTAAACATAATCAGTGTAATAAAAAACAGTTGAAAATGTCATAAATCACCTTTTTATTTATTCTCAGACCTTAAAATTAGATTTAGTCATTTTTATCATCATTTTAAATGTACCTAACAAAACAGAATCTTATTACAGTTTGTTACAAATTGTTTTATTTTTTATTCTTAAAATAAAACACAAATTATTAATATACTTTGTTATGAAAACAAAACCTTATAAAAATATGAAACCTAAAAAAATAAATTAAATTTTTAAACGAAAATCTTAAAAGTACTGAGACCATTCCAGTATTCAGTCTTACAATTTTTGAGGTAACTCTTTTAACTGAATAATAATTAGTTTCTTTAAATTTTTATTAGCAGCCATTTACCTATATAACAAAATATCTCTTAACAGAATATGAACTAAATTTAGTCTTCTTAAATCTTAAGCAACAAAACTGAACATTTTTAAAGTTTAGACTTACTGTAATGTAAGTTACATTATTATTAACTTTTTAAAACGTAAAATAACCCAAAACTATACTCATTTGTATCACCTTAAAGCCACATTTTAAATATCTTCGCGGGCGGCCTAAGACTTTAAATTTTTAAACCCGGAGTACAAATGAAGCCCCCCCCGGACGCTCAACGGATGCCCTCTAAACTAAACGGATGGCAACCCTAGTCACAGGTAATGCCGGGTTCACGGTTATCCGGCATCCGACAAAATCGCTATCCGGTACATATCTAATTAGCACGACATCTTCTCAGGCATGAAAGTCTAGTTATAGACATGTTAGAAACAGAAAGAGGTGTTAAGAGGGATAGATGTAGACGTAGATTAAATTACTGTTTGCAACTGTATAGTTGGAGATTTAAGTTGCTCTAGTTTTTGAGAAATTGCGAAAGTTGGTTCAAGATAGGAAAAAGTGGAGGTGCTCGTTAAACCAGTCTTCTGTTTGAAGACCATATCACGATGATGATGATTTTTGGTAAACTTGAGTAACCTAAACGGGACCAGTTCTTTTATAGGTACATCTGCTTATAACGGTTTTATGGAATACCAGTGGCTATTTTATAATATTATTCTTAATCATAAAACTATCCTTCAGGAAATTGTAAATTACAAGCGAGCTCGTTTCTTTTCATAACAGATTTATAATATACTTCTGGCTATACTGTAATGGTTCTGTCATGTTTAGAGTTTATGTAGCTCTCACCTTCTTTATTATGAATTAAAATTCGTATTAATTAATTCTCTTTAACGGCGCATCTATCTGAACATGCTGTTTTAATTCAACAGTATCACCCAGAAAAAAAAAAACAAATTAATTAGGTATATGCCTTAGTCGCAGTATAAAAAATTAAGAATTATGCATTTGATATTACATATTTATATATATCGTAGCGTTAAAGCATAACTTTAATTTTCATTTTAATTGCCATTAATACATACATACATACATACATACAGACAACTCTTCTCTTAATACGTTTTAAATAAATTGCTTTGAAATATATCAATTTAATGTATTGCATAATTTAATTGCTAAAAGGAGTAAATTTATATAGTAATAGAAAATCAAACGTTGAAAGTACCTTCACTCAAACATCATCATAAGGTCGTCGGTCCTAAGACTGGTTGAACACGTACCTCCACTCTTTCCTACCGAGAGCTAAACTTCGCGTTTCCCTAAAACTAGAACAGCCCACATCCTTAACTATTTGCGAACAGCAATCTAATCTAGGTCTACCTCTACCCCTCTTAACTCCTGTTTCTGCCTCTAATATGTCTCTGACTAGACCTTCATGCCTGAAAAGGTGTCCTACCAACCTATCTCGCCTATGCTTTATGGACTTCCATAGAGTCCTCTGTTATCCTATTCTTTCCAATACCTCTTCATTTCTAACCTTTTCTACCCACGTTATCCTCATCATTCGCCTATAACACCACATTTCGAACGCTTCTAACCTTTTTTTACCGCTGCGCCCACTGTCCATGTTTCGCACCCGTACAACGCCGTGCTCCAAACATACACCTTTAACAATCTTTTTCAAATTTCTAAATTAACCGTTCGCGAGCATGGAAGTGACTTCTTTTTATTAAAGGCGACTCGTCCCTTCGCTGTCCTCTGCTTTATATCCCTTCTACTCCTTCCATCCTGACATATCTGACTTCCTAGATAGCTAAAATCAGCCACTTCTTCTAATTTTTCGTCTACTATTTTTATATTCGCTCTTTCCACACTTTTTCTTCCCTTGCATACCAGTATTTTAGTTTTACTTTTATTTATTTTCATACAGTACTGATCTGTCAGTACCGCTTCCATTTTATTTAATACTCAAACATATAAAGCAGTTAAAACCCAGGAAACTAACAAATTTGTATAAGATTTTTGCATCATTTCATTTAATTTTATGAAGTAATTAATATTTTTTTCTTCAGTGCAAAGGTTACCTGGTACCACACCTTCAAAGCAAATCGATAGCTTGCTGCAACGATTATGACCACTGCAACAAAAATCTGACGCCTCAATACGAAGAAAGGACTACAACAGAAGTACCGTCGATCCTTAAACAGTCTGACAGTCTCCCGTATATTGTTTGTCTAGCGTCAGTGACAGTGTGTATAGCAATATTCCTATTAATAATCGCGTTCGTTTTTGTTCGTTATCGTCGAAAAGAGGAACAGAGAAAACATTATGGTGGCAAGCGGTACCCCGAGAAGTACAATAACATTGACATGTTACCGAACAGCACGCTTGCGCAGTTTATCGAACAGTCAAGTGGCTCCGGATCGGGACTTCCCCTTCTTGTACAGAGAACCATCGCGAAACAAATACAGATGGTGCACTCTATAGGAAAAGGCCGGTACGGCGAGGTTTGGTTGGGTCGATGGTGGGGCGAGAAAGTTGCCGTCAAGGTGTTCTTTACCACAGAGGAACAGTCCTGGTTTCGAGAAACCGAAATCTATCAAACCGTACTAATGAGGCATGATAACATCCTTGGGTTCATTGCCGCTGACATTAAAGGTACATTTCTATTTTTTTCTTGGCATTTTACCTTTGTATTTTGAAGCTGCTTCATTCGCGATAACTGTAGGCCCAACAGGGTTTTTTTAGGATGGTTTTTTCATACGAGACTTCTTTTTTTAGGAACCGGCTCTTGGACACAGATGCTTCTAATCACGCAGTATCACGAGAACGGATCGCTTTACGACTACCTCCAGGACCATGTCCTCGATCCATCTTCGCTGCTAGTAATGGCATCGTCGATTGCTGCTGGTTTGTCACATCTCCATACCGAAATTTTTGGTACGAAAGGAAAACCGGCGATTGCTCATCGAGACATCAAGAGTAAAAACGTTCTCGTGAAACGCAACGGCGAATGCGCGATCGCAGATTTCGGACTCGCCGTTAAATATTTGAGTGACACCAATGAAATTGACGTCCCTCCCAACGAGAGGAGTGGTACCAAGAGGTAATTATTATCACTTTTTTGATAAAAGAAAACAGTACAAAAAATTTGTATCATTGTACAAGTCATTCACACTGTTATGGTCTGTTACAGGTACATGGCTCCAGAAGTGCTCGATAATTCTATAAATATTAACAGCTTCGAAGCGCATAAGATGGCTGATATGTATTCTCTTGGTCTTGTTTTGTGGGAAATGGCACGAAGGTGTATTACAGGTGATAAAATCACCAGCGCGGACGAGTACGCTCTTCCTTACCATGATTGCGTTCCAAGCGATCCCAGCTTTGAAGATATGCTTCAGGTAAATGTTAAACCTTTTCACATTTCAAGCAAACTAAGAGAGAGGAAGATAGAAAAATAATTTATTTGTTTTTCTTTTTGTTGCAGGTGGTATCTGTTAAGAAAATCAGACCTCAGGTACCTCTTCGATGGGATACGGAGGATGTCCTGCAAGCCATGTCCAAAATAATGCAGGAATGTTGGCATGCTAACCCTTCTGTACGGTTAACTGCCCTGCGAGTAAAGAAATCGCTGGGAAAACTTAATTTAGACACGAGCATAAAAATTGTTTAGTGCCTAAGTTTTATTTTGTTGAAGTCACTTATGTAAAAATGATTATTAAAGATGACACTGCTGGGTACCAAAAAAAAAATATGTAAATAGAACACAATTTTTTTTGCAAAAGCAATACAGCTGATTATTTTTTTTTATTAAATTAATTTTTCGAAAAATACAAAAAACTACCTCACTGTTTTATTATTGTGTATTTCTGTTACATTTTATTTACTTAAACAAATTGCGAATGAAATTTAATTAACAAGATATTCATTTTGATTTGAAGCAATAAATTCTCAAATTTGTTATAAATAGGTATGCGCGGAAGACCGTTTTTGATATTTAAAACTCATTTTATTTTGTGATATTTCATATTTTTTCGAGTGCAACTTTTACTTTCTGATGATAATACTCAGCTGAGTACCCAGCATGGCCAAGTCAACATATAAATTGTACATATTAGTATGTAAAGAGACCTCTTGTACATAGAGTAGTGTAAGTTTTAGTTAGGCATTTATACAATTAATAGAACAACTTTGAATTCTACAAATAGACGAAACGAAGACAGAAATAACTGACAATAGTATTCAAAACATACGGTGAGACTAATTTTTTATTTTTCTAATCCAAAAAAAGTGCAGGTAATACGTACCGAAAAGGGTGCTCAAAGCAAAATTCTAATGTTATTAAATTCCGTTTTCGAATTGTTGCTATTATTCACTATTTCAGAACCTTGATTGCCTTTATGTTTACAAATCAAAAAATTTTCTGGATTTATCTTTAATATTCAGACATTGTGGAACCTATTCATTTCAGTGCAATATACTCGACCATATTGTTTCGTATTGATTAATAATTAAGAAAAATGTGGGGAATAATTATTCGAACAATTTTTGCCAGAGTAAAATTTAATTATTTTATAGAGTCCTCT